AAACAATATTTATTATTCTTTCATCAGTTTCTTTAAATGCGAACAGAAAGACGTACATTTGTTGCGATTTTCAGTTATTATTTTTGATAATTTTTATTAGGGTTCATGGATTATTTTGATAATAAGAAAGTAAGCAAAAAGGAGGCTGTGCAACGTAGTTTCAAAAGTTGGCGATGTTGATATGCGTTCGCGATGGGAGCTTGGCTATCATTTTCCGTGCACTTACATACAGACAAACTCTTTCCATGGGGATAATGTTTTTTTTCTTCTCTTTTCTATTTTAAGTTACAAGAGAGAATAGTAACAATAATAGTATTGTTAATTTATTGCTAGGTAGTATTAGTTAGGAATAATTATTGTTAATATTAGTTAAGGATGCACATTGTCCAGACACACTAGCATACAATAATATACAGAAAAAAAAGTAAACTTCAAACAAGAGTTTATAAATTTCCGTACATTATTTGTCAGGAAATTTAAAAACGTATAATATCGTAAAGTTTATATCGTAACGAAAAAAATTATACATTGTCCTTAACGTAACTTACATTAATTTAAATAATAGTGAAAAAAAGAGATGAATTATGATGGCAATAACCATCAAAATTATTCTGAATAAGAAAGAGAATATCTAATGAGATTTTTTCCTCGATTCTGTATGACCGTGACCTGTGAGTTTCATGGCTTAGACAGAAATAAAAATTACTTTTAATCAACTTTTTGTCTTAGGCGTATTAAAGTTTGAAAGAGAATGAATGAATTTAGGTAAATGAAGCTGTCATTGAAGTAATTTAAAGTTGGACAATTGTGCAATGCATTAAATGATATTTATTGACCTCTACGCTCGAAAATGACATTACTCTTTTTTAACTATAATTTTTTTGCTATAGATTCTTTTAAAAACATGTATGATTAAAGAATATTTTATCAATTAATATTATCATGTATATCGATTAGTTTTAATTTTTCCAGTAATTTTTTTTCGTCTTGTTAATATTGTTGCTTTCAAAAGATTCGAAAAGTAAATATATTTTATAAAAACCGTAAGTTGCAAATTCGCTACTTACACCGGATAACTCTAGATAGTTAGGTAAATTTAATTTAACAATTTGGTGTATTATATTTGAATATATGTAATCAAGAATAGGCTGAAACAAGTGGAAAAATATTTTTGTAGCAGTTGAATTTTTGGAAGAAAAAAAAAACATAAATTTGATATTTGAAAAGTTTTTAATATAATGCTTCTGATTTATTATTTTTTTGGTGAATTTAATGAAAATTCAATAGAATAAATTTTAATCCAAATTTTATTAATTAACCTTTTTATATTTGTCAGATGTAACCATTAAGCCGTCGAATGTCGGAAATTCCGCGAAGACCATCCTTAATATATATTTTAAAAATCCTTGGCAAAAACGAAGACAAAAGCAAACACACTTTGGGGTTCGCGAAGATAACATAAAGAAAAGGAAGAAAAAATAAAAACGTTTTCGAAATTTGATGAGTAATTGTTGAGGTAAGCGAGAATATATTTGTGGTTGTTGTTTCTAATGCGACATGCCAATACCAGCAAGCCTGCTTGGTGAAACCAATCGAATTTAAGGTAGAGGGGGTGCATTTCTTGTTTTTGAACTCTTGAAACATGCCAGCTGTTGAATAAATAATCCCAAGAAACTGAAGCTTTCAGATATTTCCTGATTAAAAACTTAATTCGCTTCAAAAATGTATAAATAAGAAATAGCAGTTGACATGTTTTAAGAGCTAAAAAACAGGCGCCCGTTTTCAAGGCTTGCCAGACGTAATGAGAAGAAATAAAAGTGATTTGAAAAATGAAATGAAAAGTTGTAACAAAAAGATAGAAAAATTGAGGTGAGAAACAAAACTAGAAGAAACACAGTAACCGAGATGAAAAACAGACCACAGTGGCTAAGAGAGGCAAATCAGGCGCTATGGAGAGGTGGTGTGGTGAGGAATTAATGTTGTTAACAAGAGAATCATCATCCATATGAATAAAACAAGATTCCAGGGCATCAAGATGAGCTGATGTGACTGAAGTGGAAATAATTTTGGCATTGTCGGAATTGAATTTATGTTAAGATTCCAACAAAGTACAGTTAATAGTCCAAAAAATCTGATAATGCCAAAATTATTTCCACCAAAATTTTTAAGCTAAAATTATATTCTTGAAAAAGAATATTATTTGAGCGCCTGAATCATGTTGACTGTTATTTCTAATCTGTACATTTTTGAAGCGAATGAAGTTTTTTAATTAATATCTTTCCGCTGCAGTTCCTTCTGGTTATTTATCTGATTTCTTTCATAATCGAAAAATCTACTCTAACTTTTATATCAATCAATTTCTAACTAACTATGGAGCCCAGGGTAGTTATCAGTCATAAATGTTCGGGAAGGACCCGACTGTAAAGTTTGCAAGAGTTATGAAGATATCGAACACATACTCACTGCCTGCTCAGTTTATAATGATTTAAGAATTATATTTTCCCGAAAAATTTCAACTTTGATACCATTAAAAGAAACTGGAACAAAAAGAAAATAATAGAGATTTTTAAAAGACTTTTTGGATAGAGAATTGAGGATTTGACCAAAACTGATCCTTCAATAGTATTCCCTGGATGCCTAGTATGGGAGGCGGGACAAGTTTAAAGCCGAGCTTTTGATTATTTAACATAATGTGCATACTTTTTGTCTTCATTTTTGACAAGGATTCTTAAATTGTATGAAGAGCGGTTATTGAGAATACTTTGTTTAAATTATGTAATCGAGTACTTTTGTCAACAAGAATTTTCAAATCATATGAAATAAATTTACCTCTTCAATAAATTTTGTAATTTTTTTTAGTTAGGTATCTCTAAATTTTGAAAAATTTTAGTAAGCAATATGTGATCATAATTCTTTTTTTTTTTTTCTTCATGTTTTCAACAATTTGTCGATTAAATTGTTTACTTGCCTGAAGGAAAATTGTATATATTTTTTTCTCAATATTTAGGATTTTCCAGCGAAGAAATAATTTTTTTTTCTTTTAACAATAATCAGGAAAATCTGTAGATACAAATTAAAAAGATCTGGTGAAATATGGATATAATAAAAGATATATATTAACTATTTATTGAGATCGCTAAAAATTGGAAAAGAAATTATAAAAACTTTTCCCTGCCACCGTACTATTCCATTATTTAGTATTATCTTTTTTCATATATTAAAAAATCGTAGGAGACATTGCCACTGTTTGGGTGCTCAACTTAATGTCTCATTTTGTTTTGCTGCTGTAAAACTATGAGACTTGGAAACTTGAAATTGCGAAGGTGTGAAGAAAAATTTTTAGGGAGTGCGATGGATTAAGAAAATGTAGTATTCGATTTATAGTTTAAGAAATATTAACAGTTTAACTTGAAGTAAAATATACTACGTGGGCCACCCTACGGCATGCGAATATGCACTTAATTTGAAGTCTGACGTGTCGAACGGGCCACTTTTATTTATAAACTTCATCCAAAATTATATATATATATATATATATATATATATAAAATAACAGGGCTACATCCCTGTTATCATTGTTGTATTCAGCTTTAATAATGAAGTCATAATCCATAATACGTTACATAAAGGTTTATTTAAAGGTAAGCTGTTGGTCATAACAGCTCGCATCCCCACTCCACAAGGGAGGGGCAAAATGATATTTGCTTTTTTGAAAAATCTCGATTTAAAAAAAAAAAAAAAATTATAAGAAGCAACTACAAGAGTTAGGATGAGCGGAGCCTCTTAATCAAAAATTTTGTTTTCTGTTCTGTGTATCAGGAGTAGGAAAAAAAAGTTTCAACACATAAAGTTTATTTTGTTGAAAATTATTTCCTGAAATTTCTGGGATTTTATAATGTATGTTGAAATTTATGACTCTGCATCTCCCCCCCCCCACCCTCCAGGCTTCGTCCTCGTTTCGAGGTAATGCAAGCATTTTTGTTTCAAGAATTACATGGAGCATTTTTTTTAATGTTCGTATTGTTTCAAAGGATAAGAAAAAGAAAAAATACATAAAAGTAAGTTATAAAATGATTTTTTAATTTTTTGCCACAATTTACACGCAATTTTTAAAATAATGAAATCGTTCTCGATTTTATCCATTTTTCCTCGTTAAACATTTCATTGATTTTTTTTTATTGAAAAATATCTGAGAATCTCTATTAAAAAACATTAAAATTGTTTTGTTACTCGCTGCCTCTCATTTATTATAATTTATTTTACTTTCAATGTATTTCAGTTACATCAATTTATGAGTGCCTTTTAAAGATTTAAATTTTTTTTTTAAACCTGGAAGCAGGTAATTTTTATTCAAATAACTATTTTTTGACAGCTAATAATGCTTAAAATTATTTGTTTTTAAAAAAAGCTTGGTTTAATTTAAATAGTAATTTGATTTTGTAACTCATTTTAATATTGTTAAAGCGGAACAGATATTTTATGGTGGTAATAACTGCAGGTAATCTGCATTTATAATCAAATACATGTCTAGGTATCAACTCTTAATAATAATAACAATAAAAATTGTCTTAACAAATTGTATACGGAAAAAAAAATTCGTTAGAATTATTGCTTCGGAAACAGTATAACCTTTAAGAGTGTTAAATTTGTATTCCTTAGAGATATAATGATGCATAAATAATGTATTTGAATCAATATTTATGAAATACAATGCCCTTTTATAAAACGAGGAAATAAGTTTTAAGTAGCTTTCCATTTCCAGAAAAATGAAAAAAGAAAAGAAGAGAAGACAAAAAAAAAGTATGGATTACTCATTCCTTGATACTAATCTCTTTCATCTTACACTCCAACAACACTCTTTTTTTTTCTTCTTCATAATAAGAGATCATCACTAACGAAAACGAACTTTAAAGAATTATATGTATATTGGATCTAAAAAATTGCATATTAGAGGGAAATCTATATGGTGAAAGCAATTAACGTAGCTGCAGGGGAGAGTAAAAACGTCTGAGTAAAATCTTCAGGGTCACGTTAGAATATCAGTGAAAGGGGTTCTTTCGAAACGAGTTGTTTGTTACTTAAATGCATGAATGACCAGTATCCTTCCTAATTTCAACAATGTTCCCTCAGAGTGAAGATCGGGTCAATTTACGCCGCGTTCCTGACTTTTATAATGGAAAATCTATTTTCATAACTGGAGCTGCTGGATATTTAGGAGTTGTGAGTAAATAATAATTTTCGTGTTTCCGTTTTCATTTGAACGAATTATATTTTTATTTATAATTACATATTTTAATATAAATTTTTATTTTTGACATATATTTGAATTTTTTGACATATATTTGAATTTTTTTCAAATTTTAAATGTATGTAATTAGCATATATTTAAAATTTGATAAATTTGTTCTACTATTATTATTTTATTTAAGATCTTTTTTCAACTTTTAATTCCTGAATTGTGACTAAATGATAAAAAGATCAATTAATTTTAAAAGATTTTTTTTTAATTTTATAGTTTCTTCAAAACATCAAGGTTATTTTTAATGCTTTGACGGCGAATTTTTATTGGACATATTTTTCATAATTTTTTTAATTAATTTTTAATAATTTACATCAAAATAAGTAAAACATATTATAATTAGCATTTAAATAGTTTACTGTTAGGAAATACAGGAAATACCGTTGTCTTTTTTTCGTCTTAAAGGCAAAATTTTCCAATCACAGCTCACTTCCAAACAAAAATATATCAAATTTGCAGTTATTTAGATATAAGGGAAACAGTAATTCATCACTGACATTTTTTTTAGTTTACAAAACTCATTAGTCATAAATTTTTGAATAGGAATGAAAGAAAAATTTCAAACTACTCTTTTTTTGGATTTTACATTTTAGTACAAATATTACTCTGATCTTTCAGTAACCATTTTTTTAGTAACCATTAGACTGTTTTTTACAATTATTAAAATATCAAATATATTTTTGCTTGTAATTAGAGAGTCATAAAATATATATATATATAAAAGGTTCACCGGTGACCCAAAGGATTAAATAATACGGATGAAATTTATCTGATCAAATTTGATACACAATAGCACCTGAAAGAAATACTGAGATATTTAAGTTGAAAAACAAATATGAAAATCATACACCGGTGAGAAAATTACGTGAACAATTTTTCAAGACCTATAAGCTAGTTCATTTGACGAGTATTTGAAATTGTTAACTGTTATATATATGTAGGGGAGAGTCGGGTAGCCCCGCTCACTTAAGGAGTATTGCTTATATTTCTGTATAATACTGAGTAATAATCAACATTTTTGTATGTTTCTATTGTTTTATCATCTAATTAAATAATGCAAAAAGAATAAACCAAAAAAAGAATAGTTAAACTTAAAAAAATAGAAATTTAAAAAAACATGTTTTTCAGCTCTTTTCAAAATGTGTCGGGTAGCCCCGCCCAGTTACAAAAATTATGTTTTTTGACTGTTTTTTCAGGTGTAAATGAAAATGACCAATGTATTGACAATAGATAAACCTCATTTATCATTTTTATCACAAAATTATTTTATTTATTACATATTTATATACTTTTAGTGAATTCTATCATTTAATAACAACAATATTTGTTGTTAAAAATGCATATAACATTCAAATTTGAAGCAATAAAATAATAATCTTTGCAACCGTACATTTATCGACGAAATAAAATTGGGCGGTGATACCCGACATTCATGTGAGCGGGGCTACCCGAAATCCAATTTTTTTGTAAATTTGTAATTACTCGAACAATTTTTCACATATAAACTTCTTTCTTTGTGCAAATTAAACTTAAGACTACATACTTTAATGCTGTATGTATAGAAAAAATTATTTTATTAGCATTAAAATGAAGTTTAATCGAAACATTCAACCAATTTTTCTTAATTTCACGACTACTGTGTTCAACATATTTTCAAAACCATTGTTTACCATGTTACCAGCTGCATAAGTACTTGAAACTTTGAAAATAATCTTTTTTTAATATAACAATTAATGTCCGATGGCCCATGGACTTGAAAAAATATTCTATACATAATATGAAATTGACAGTGGGTATATAATATGAAATTGACAGTGGGCGGGGCTACCCGACTCTCCCCTATACATATAAACCCAATTTTTATTTCCAAATTTTATACATATTATAGTCAATTATATTACTGCGTGCGATTGGCGTGAAGAAATAAGGATAGTCTCGTAAAATTCCAAAACAAAGAGAAATTAGAAATACAAAAAAATGTATGAATTCAGTTATGAATTTCTAAAAATCTATAATATTTGTTACTAATAAAATCAGAAATAACTTTTCTAGACCAAAAACTTGATTGCTAGAGATTTGACAGTAAAACATTTTTATCTATAAATAAATGGCGAAGAAAATTCTCGAAGGGAAAAGATACATCTATTTTTCTTAAACAAATATTTTAGCAATGTCTTATCTAAAAGCCTAGCTTCCCTTTTTTACTTTAAAAATACCTGTATTATCTTTTGCCGATTGAGTTGATTTTTGTTTTGCAAGTACTGTTTGAAGAGAAGAAAATATAGATATGTTAAAGGATGTCGAGTTCAATCAAAAGCTGTCTTATGTCAGTTAATATATTTTCAGATGTTCGTTTTCAATATCTAAAGGTATATCAACAACAGAAATAAAATATATTTAATGGGTAATGCAAGTCACTCATAGTTTTTTTAAATATTTATCTAGCACTTATTATTTATATTATTAGCCATATCCCATACATTTTGTTTATTGTCGTTGTACGGAGGGCAAAAAACGGGAGGAGTTTTGAGAACAAATAACAGTTAAGATTTTTAGATTTAATATAGGCTAAGATTTTCTTGCAGTTGTAATCTAATAGGATAACCTTGACTAGGATAATTAATTAATGAAAATGATAAATTAAGCTGTGAAATCATATGCAAAATCCTAAATTTTTAAGATATATATGATCTTTTTATTTTAAAAAGGGATATCGATTTTTTACTCTCAATAAATGAGGTAGCCACAATTAAGAAAAAATACATTTTATACATTCAGCATCATATACAACTTATTTTGGAAATTTTACAACATGTAAAACTGCGTAATTTAATATACTAAAATACAAAAATGTGAATAAATTTAGTTAAATGATTCCCAAGAAATTACAATTGATTTTTTTTTAATGAAAAATAATTAGACTGCAGCTTCGTTGGAACTTTATTTAAAGAAGCTTATCATTAGCATTTTTCATTGACACTACTACATTTGGCATTTTATTGAATAATAACAGTAGTAATATTTTTATAAATAATAATAGAAAAATTATTATATATAACTAAAATTTATTTAATGGGAAAAAAATTTTCTTTCGCATAATTAATAGTTCCAAAAATTAAATTACATAAGAAGTTGCGATTAAATTGAATTAGTAAAAAATATCTAAAGTAATTTTTGAAAAGAGGGAAGGTTTCAGTGCTTATAATTAGTTATTTGTTATCAAAATTATACGCTGTAAAAATTTACCGTATTTTTACAGACTTTCCCTTTACATCTGACGATTTAAAGCTGTTTTGTTAAAAACGGTTTTTCTCTGTTTTTCATCCTAATCGTAAGCGGATTAAAATCGTCAGTTCAAATTCTAGTTTCTGCTGTGCAGTTTTGCTTACCATACGATAACTCTACCTTATTTTAAAAAATCATTTTGCGATTATTTTCGATATTTGCTCTTATTTTTCGGCAATTATTTCATGGTTTTGAACATCATATAAATAAAGTTGCGATTCGATTTTATTGCCGAACTGATACTCTACCTGATTGTTATAATTCTTAAGATATAATTTTTTGGTAATTTAAGTTGTCACGCATTTTTAGACTGGCGGCCAGTCTAGTTTTAAAGATTTTTACACTTAAATATTATTTCAATAAGTAAGTCTTTTAAGATAAAAACAGTTTTCAACATAGTGAGACACAGGGCCGGGATAGTCTGGTTGGTAGGGCACTGGGCCCATGTCCAAGAGGTCATGGGTTCGATCTCAGCTGGCCGAAGATTCTCCGTGTAGTAAGTGGTGTTACACGTTAAATCTGCTAAGTCACAATGTCCTCCATGTTCCCATAAAAACATACCTCTGGGGGTACTGATCCAGGAGTTTCCTTGTATTCTGGATTGGTTCAAAATTAAAAGGCTACGGAGTTGAACATTAGTAGTCGTAAACCCAAAATTAGGTCGGCTGTTCAACGACGGTTATAAAATATAAAATAAAATAGTGAGACATAGATACTAGAGCAGCTGTAGCTCAGAGGCCAAGGCTCTCGCCTCTTAAATAAGATGACTCAGATTTGAATCTTAACGTCAACCGGCCGTACATATATGCTGCTCTTGATTTACAGTGTACTGTCTGAACTCGAATCTACACTAATAAATTTTTTTACAACAAAAAGAATAGTTGTCAAAATAAAAATAAACAAATTAAAAAAAATAAAAATAATAAATATCCCAAATAACTTTCTATCTAATGATTGCTCATTTGCGTACTAAGATGTTGCATAACGTACCACGGCCATCCGCTAAACTAAACAATCAAACATTTTTCAGCACGTCCGATCATCACTTATTCCTTTTAATTGTTAAGTAGTCTCGATAGGTTCAGAATAATTGCAAGATACTATTGTAAAAGTGCATATTGCTGAACAAAATCTACTGTGTGCGAAATAAAAAAGTTAACACCTTGTTTAACTTTTGAACTAATGATTGAATTTTCACGCACATACAAGGACTCAATCTTGATGGTTAGATAGGGCCGCAAATTAAATATGCTAATTAATTTATGTTATGTTACATGAAAAAATATTTATTCTGAGTAAACATATCGTTTTTTAGACGGAATCGGATTCTTGACCCACAAAATATGGTGAGGGGGGGGGGAAAGCCGAATTCTGGGAAATATGGTGCCAATAGGTAAGTCAGGAGAGCGGTTGAAAGTTGAACTTTTATGTGTCAATTATGCTTTCGGCGTATTTAGCCATAACTCGAGAACTTCTGAAGCGAATCGAAAATTTTTTGCACACGATTATGAAACATAAATTCATGAAAAGAAAAACTTTTAATAATTGCTTATAAGTTTTTAATAATAGGCGAAAACATTTTGAATTGTGAGGTATACACATTTTTAGATCATTTTAAAGAATGAAAATTTTAAAC